TAAGTCTTTGTTTCTTCGAGTTACTTGGGCGTAGCCACTGACAATATATATTCTAATAAACGATGTATAATAATTAGAAAATATCAGAAGTGAAATGTTTAAAATGCTACATTAATATTTCCGACGTGCGACTAAAGATTAAGTTATAAATCAAAACTTTCGCTTAAATGATATGGACTAAAAGTCGAATGATTGTAATCGATGCCTTTACTAATGGATTGTGGACTCTTATCATTTTTTTTATAATTTATTTTAGTCGTTATAAATGTACTAAACGAAAATATTAGTTCTGCAGTAAGAAAATAATATTTAGTGAAGTCAAATTAAATTAATTTCAGATAGCTTTTTTCTAATAATCAAAAAAATACTCACAAAAAGTGCCCAAGTTTCGTACAAACCGAACTTACGGCTTAGTTGAAAGAATATATCATGTACCTAATAGTGATCTGAATTTCCTCATAGAATTTATATTAAATCACGTATTCGTTTTTCAAAATATATTTGTGTCTCAATTGGACATGTGAACCGTCCTGCATAATAGCTACTGTCCTCCAGAGAGACGCAGTAAACAGAAGTGTGCAGGTGCGTCATTTTTACCAGCCAATATTAAATAGTTCTACCATTAAATTATTGATTAATTTTAAATTTTATGTATCTTATTTCGTTAGAAGTTTATCAAATAGTGTCTCAATTCTTGTGATTGATGATTGATTGTCTCAATTCATGTTATATTGTGATTTTCTAAGTTCAAAATATATAATTTTCGATTTTAAATATTAATTTCTATTTTTAATTAGTTTAGTAAGTTTGTAAGAAACTGGTTCAATTAAAAAAAAATCGTTGATTTTTGAAAATACTCCAATTATATGTAATAAATCCTCTCGGAATACTTTTATCGCTCATAAATTAATTTATTTTTTTATTGATTTATTCGATTATTCACACATATCGAGAAGTTCATGTAACTTGCCTGAAGGCAAAATACCAATACCATCTAGTTTTTTAATGTGATGCTAGAAGTAATATTAATGATTACTGATGTAAAGTATGAATAGGCAAATTTAATTTAAGTAACCGAAAATGGTCATAGTATCACTAAAGCTCTAGGTTGCACTCGAAAGCTCATAATTTCCAAACGTGAGATATTTTTTTTCAAATTTTTTTCGGTGCAGTTAAGGTCAATACAATCATCCTATTTCGGCTTAACGTTAAGGTCTAAGAAAATCAGTTCATACAATAAAAATATCATAAATTTTCTAAACAATTAATATGTACATTAGAGTTTATATGTTAAAGTTCAGAGTTGCATAATGCAATAAAACGTCTAATTTATATATTTCCAAATAGCACGTAAGAATCGCATTGCCTTTTGCAATTGAGTTTGCGATGCACAGGTGAATTATTTTGCATCGTTCCCATAAAAAGACCTATCTAAGGTTCATTCATTGTGTTATATGTTATATCATCACAGTTCAACGATTTATATTGTGTACGTAAAGTATGTAACAATTAGCGTGGCGATGTTTCACCTTCGCCTACATACGGATCTTTTGTAAATCACACATACGATGTGTATTATACATACATTATACATATATTGCATTCGGAACAGATTGCGAAACGCGAACAAATAATATTGTTGTGCCTAATATTGTATCGAAGGGCCGCGGTAGTTTTTGGTAATTAGCTTCATGTAGGTCATGAGATTGCTAAATTCATAAGTTAAATTTTTTGAGGGCTTGCCCGTAGGTAAGCGGTTAAAAGCGACTGGACTTGTTTCAGAGGTCCCGGGTTCGATACCCACTTCGAGCAGCTTGTTGTCAGGCAACATTGACAACGATTTTCACTTGGAAATATAGATAGCAATATGTTTCCAAGTGAAAATAGGCTTCAACCGGCATTGCTGCACTATTAAAAATACTCGCCCTATTACAGAAATTGTAATAATAATATATATCATACAGAGATGTGACAACTGATTGGGTTGCCATCTGTCAAACAGACTAGTATTAAGTCAAAATCAGCACAACAGCTTAGGTATTAGGTTCTGATTGCTGTTCAAACATAATTATGAAAAAAAAAATGAAAATTGAATATCTTTGATGATTAAAAATTTATATTTTCAATAGTATAGATTCATGTTAAACCTAAAAAAGTTCTGAAAAAAGTGAGAAATTCACTAATTTTCACTTGTCGTAAGGCCGTAATATTTCAGAAAGTTCTATAAGACCATGATATATATCGCCAAAAAAAGTTCCATAAAAATCGACTAAAATTTTTTTTTCAACAGTTAATTACAAAAAAACGGCTCAGTAGAATTTCACCTAAAACTAATCAGTATCATTCCGAAGAAACGGCTCGGACGATCGTCGCAAAAAACTGAAAAATGATAATCCTTGAAATCAAATGGGTTTCCTAAAAACGGTTCAGGCGCTTTTGAGCAAACGTCGATGAAAGGTCTAATTTTGACAAATGCCAAAAAACGGTACTAATTTTTGCAAACTTTGACGAATTTTCAAAGCTAAACGAGTTGTCGTAGAGCTGTAATATTTTAGTATGATATAGAAGGCTATGGTATCTACCGTCAAAAAAAATAATAATAAAAATCGTTGAAAAATTTCTTTTTTCTTTTTTATAAGAAAACGACCCGGCCGATCTTTACCAAAAACTAATCAGGTCGATTCCCAATGAAGATCTTTCGAACGGATTTTTAATTTTTAAAATCGATTCAGAATTGCGCGCTTATGTATCCAAAATAATGCAGGCTTATAAATGAATGAATATTATTAAACAAATTAAATATGAAAGCATTTCTAATTCTCAGTTCTCATAACTTAAAAACTTAAAAAATCCACGTTTTAATTAATCGAATCAAAATAATTTTTTATATAAAAAAGGCAAAAAAGATGCAGTCTTGTAATTTTTATAAAGCACCAGAAAACACTGCAAAATACGCTATTTTATTCAGAAAACAAAATTACATAACGTCCATAACCTACGAGACCATAAATTCAATTAAACATCGCGATATAAAATCTAAAGTATGTATTCATTCATAAACTCATAATATTTCGACCTTGACCACATATATAAATAGTAAATAAGATAAATCCAATTTTCACATGATAACATCAATCAATTACAGCAACAGTATAGTGAGTAAAATCGTAATTAAATATTACTTGCACTTCTGTTATTACTACATGCATGTAATTTACTTAACTTAGTACTTATATCATTGTTTATAATCTAAGATCATAATAATTTACTGACTATAAGATTTCTTAGATGCCATGTGTAATTTATATTGACAACCATGGTGTAGTAAAAGTTATGTAATTATAACAAGGCATATATCATTGACAGTAATTTATTCAGACTTATGAATCGATTTTTCAAAATAATAGCTTCTTTGAGAAAAAATGAAAAATTGAATAAAACTTTCTTGAGATTTGTTTCAACTATTTTCATAAAAGAAACTAGCATGATTTTATTGAATAAGAATGTATTTTTCAGAATAATAGCTTTTTTTAAAAAAATATATAAAACTGCCAAGAGATTTGTTTCAACTATTTTGTTGAAATGAACTGATGTAATATTATTGAAAAATATAAGCTATTATTTTTCAGAATAATAGCCCCTTTAAAAAAATGAAAAAATTTATAGAACTGACTAGAGATTTGTTTTAACTATTTTCACAAGATGAACAAGTGTAATATTATTAGAATTAGAATAGCTATTTATTAAAAAAAAAAGTGGAAACATTTATAAATCAGCCTAGACATTTATTTCAACTATTTTCATGAAATGAACTAGTGTATTATTACTAAATAAGAAAGTTGCATGATTTACGATTTTTTAACATTCAACATAACTTGTTGAAAAATCAATATTTTATCACTTTTAAACAAATCATCAAAGTTCAATCACATCTATACCGATATTATTTATAATACATGATTTTTCCAATTCAGATTCCAAAAAAAATGGCCATTTTTCGAAAAATGTTTTTTTTTTTAAAATAGATGATAAAGTAAATCTAGACAATTTAAAAAGTAATATATGACAATTGCCAAAATAGTCAGTATTACTTCTACAATTGTATACAAAATACAATTGAATCAAAGTTTACTACAGAAACGAAAAACGAGTAATAAAATAAAAATTAACATAAAGGGTCTGATCGTGTTTCCATACAGAATTGGCCCCACCCTGGTATTTAAATGATTTTGATGCCAATTTATAGCTTTTTTCCAAAAAAATCCGATATACCAATTATCAACTCCCTCGCTCATCATTTCGCCAAGATATCATTAACCATGTGGTAGAACACATTCAAGAGCCACTTTCGCATATTTTCAATGATATCTTGGCGAAATGATGAGCGAGGGAGTTGATAATTGGTATATCGGATTTTTTTGGAAAAAAGCTATAAATTGGCATCAAAATCATTTAAATACCAAGGTGGGCCAATTCTGTATAGAAACACGATCAGACCCTTTAAAGTTCTTTTATGAAGTAGAGTTCCAGCTGTATTATTTTCAATATTTATAAAATATTAACTGCCAAAAGGTTTTTTTGATAGATGATTGATATTCACAAGTGAAAAACTTATATAATCAAAGCTTTGTAAAAAATCTTTGCTCAATAAAGCATATTTTCTATAATTTTGAATTTTCCGTTTCGAAATTATTTGCAGTAGCAAGAGCATACACAAAATTTAATCAAATCAGTAATATAATTTTATGAACTTAAATTCCAAAGAGAACGGTATTTCTAAATTATTTTCTTCCTCTTCCAATCGAATTTTGCATCATGCGTAACATAACATTACAATGTTATTGAACTACGATATCGATATAATTATATAGCGATATGGAAAATTTAGGCCAGTGCAAAAACATTAATGACTGCATACACGTACATGTATGAATATGCGCATGTTACGCAAATGCAACAACAATTATCAAATTTAATTAGTGCTAACATTTAATGATATCATGCAGATGAAAGTCGTGATATTGCTGGCCTGCGCGTTCGCGGCTGTTCTCGCCGAACCGGCGATCAACGAGGCGCGACAACCTTCCGACAGACCGGGACGATTCCTCAGCCTACCGGTTGCACAGAAATGCGCCAACAGTAAGTAGACATTGATAATAAAATTATTTTTGTCTTTTTAACGTCCCGCAGTGTAAGTTTAGAGTAATCGCAAAAAAATCGAAAATGAAAATTTTTGCATATCTCAGAGCTTTTGCATCTCGTTTCATAGGTTTGTTAACATTTTGGCATACATTAGACAAATTGATGTATGTGTGTTTGTTGAAATAAAAATTCTCGATTTGAATTATTGAATGGATTATTCAAAAAAACATTCGATTCCTATTGATAAGGACACGTTCTGATTAGTTTTTAAACAAGGTACTCCCAGCCGTTCCAAAGATACGGAGTAAAAGTGCCAAAAACGGTAACTCAGTTTTTAAGAGAACGGAGCGTCCAATTTTAATTATGTATTGATAAAATGAAGAGCTGATTAATTTTTCAAAATATTTCGAAATATAAAAAAATCATTTTTTCCATAAAAGTTAATTTTTTTTTCAAAAATTTATAATTCTCAAAAATATATTTTTTTTCAAAGTTTAAAAACAAAATTAATCTTTTTTAAAAAAAATAGTTTTTGGTACAAAAAGTTCCAGCAATTTGCCTTAAGACACGATGCCATACACCACTAGTTATTAAACTTTTAGGGCTCATGGGCCCAGCTGTGGGAAATTGAAACGGACGTGGTCTAGCACTAATTGTAAGTAGTCTTTGGTTCGTCGGTTCGATTCCTGCTACTGCCAAAACCCGATATCAGGCAGCTATAATGTCAATATGGCATTTGAGGTTATATATCTCAATATAATTTTAAGTGGAAATCGCTTCGTAGACATTTCTCTAGTATTTAATCATAAGATAACTATTAGAAGAGCTAATATAAACCCCACACATAAAAGAATGGTAAAACGATGGGTTCCCTCTAATGAAATATTAGTTTATAAGTCTTCAATAAACAGCTTATAGGAAATGTAAGGTTAAATTCCTGATTGCTGTTGAAACAATAAAATAACAAAAAACGCTAATACCCTCGTGGAATAATAAGAAAATTTGTTGAAGCAACTGTATTATTTCGAAGGCGCTAAGAGAAATGTTCAGAAAGTTTAACTCTCTATGCTCCCGCGTAACTTTCAGGTCACATTCCAAATTTTTTGATAACTTATCAAATATTTATGGCTTTTTTGTGAAATGACGCTCAAATCTTAATTATTATTAATAAATCTATAATGGTGTCAATACAACCAATATCAATATTTAGAACCGTCAGCCTGAAATAACATTTTCATACACAGAAGTGCAAACATTATAGGCCGCTGTGACTAGTCACATGATATATTATTAACAAAAAAATTATAAACAGATTTTTTAACTTCCCGTAGGATAAGTCATAGCAAATAATTTTTATTTTTTTATACATCTTTATATCTACTCTTCAATTCAACAAAAACAATTTATGTTTTTTGAGTTTATTGGCCGTGTAACAAGGTACAAATGGTGTGATTTGTACCAATTCTGAAACAATCTATATCTACCGCCATGTTCGTAGAAGTGTAAAGTCAAATATATCCTGGACTATAAAAGTAAATAATTTATAATAATGATAAACAGTCAGAATGCAAGTCCATGGTGTGAGTGCATTGCAAAACAATGATTTTCTTACAATTATTGTTTCATTATCATCAATTACTTCATATACACTTTTTTTAGTTTTCCTCGCAAAACCACCTGGTCCTGTGCTTTCGCATTCAGTTTCCTGCTTTTATAATCATGCTCAGTAGTTCTTTCTTAGATCAGGACTTTTTCATTTATTTTATGATTTATATTAAATAAAATCAATATTGGTTTCTAGAAATTCTTTGAAAAATATAAAAATTGAATATCTTATAAATTACTGGTTGTTATTTAAGACTTGTATTCATCAATTTTTTCTGTGGATTCGGAAATATGTCAGTGAACCAGTTAAACTTTCTTGGTAAAAAGTTAGTTACGTTGTCTGGTTTTTCTCTATAATGATTATAAAATATGTTTATATAAAACTATGAATGATGTATCATATCATCTAACAGCACGTGTTATGCATATTCGACTAGATCGCATAAGAAAAGATTATTACCGAGTCGGTGTTGAAACGAGCATGGACTTTTTACTTTTTATACTTCCGTTTCTTGAAGCCAGCACATATGTATTTATATGTTCGAAACTTTCGCTTATGAATATCAATCGAATCAATTTTGAGGTAAACAGGAAAAGGTCAGTCAGTTCATAATAAATATAACGCCTTGTTACGCAACAAAATAAATTATTTAATCGATAAAAGTCGCTAATAATCGTTCGACCTTATGAACATTTGCGGTGGGAACTTGTAATTGAAACATCGAGATCGAGAGGTCGCGGTGAAAGAAGACTGGGAAAATTGTTTAATATTGTAAGGTAAAATTCATTGTAATTGCGCTCCTTCTGGTAATTTATCAGAATTGAATTTAAAAGTTCAGCACATATTGTTGGATATTTAGTTTTTCAAGCATTCTCAGTTTTCTACGAAAATTTATAGGTAAATACAGTGGTACCTCGCCTTACGAGCTTAATTCATTCCGTTCTCAATTCTCAGAGCAATTTTTTCCACATATAAATACATTGAAATGCTATTAATCTGTTCCAGCACATTATTTTTATTGATAAAAAAAATAAATGAAACATTTGATGCTACGATCATATACATATTCTGCAAAAATTTAGCAAATCTCTAAATGAAAAATGATTAAATTATCGTTATTCTTGTTTTACAGATTAAAAAAAAATATCCAATTTCTTTTGCGGTTCGTATCACAAATTTTACTCGTATAAAGAAGACGCGACTTCGGCGGCTCGTATCTCGAAAAAAACGTATGACGACTCGCTCGTAAGGCAAGGTTCTAATGTATTTTATAAACACATTATTTGTTAAATAATTTGCATTGCATTGCAAAAGTCTAAACATGCACAAGTAATATGCTTAATATTTATAGGCCACACTCACGCTGCGTTTTTCATAAAAAATGATACTAAAAACTGTTAAAAAAAAACGATGTGGTTGCTGTGCATTCTGTCATTTTAGATATAAAACCTGACCTATAAAACGCATATACGTCAAAAAAGAATCTTATCATAAGTAAATCTTTATAATGTGTCATAATAACATACGAGTGAAGTTGCATTTTATATGTAAAACGTCTGATCGCGCAGCAAATACATAGTATTTTGACGGGTTTTATTACCATTTTATATGAAAAATATATAGCGGAGGAATTAGGGATTTATTCATATAACAATAAATTATTTTTAAAATAATGAAGATTATTAGCAAATAATGTTTCTATAAAAAAAAATTACCCAGATTTACTTTAACTTTTTGATCAAGGTATTATGTCCTAAAATTTTAATAAATGATATTTGACTAATTCAAAAGGTATAGCGAAAAAATTTAATATTTATTCATATAACAAAGTAATTAGTCTAAATTATAATGATGATTAGCAATAATTTGATCAATTTATTATGTCTATAAATTTTGTATGTGAGCCAAAATTCGACCCTTTATCGACGTTTTCTCGAAAAATGATTTTCTCGAAAGATAACCTGAATTTAAATTTATAAACGATTCAAAAAAAATTATATGGAACTCGGTAAGGCTCACGCCAAAACTGTTTTTTAATAATAAGCAGAGAAGTGCAAAAAATTTCTTCCTAATTTTCTCTAAACATCGCGAACTAGTTTTAAAAACTCAAAAACTTGGGAATCGTGCTGATTAGTTTTCGGCTGCAAATTACAAAATCCTATCGTCACAAATTTAAAAGTATCTAAATCTCATTTTTTTAAGTCCATTATTTATATATATGCGCTAGTTTTTGCAATTTTCTTTAAAGCTAGATATAAGTGGCATTTTCTTTACTTCTACTTTCGTTTATAGACCGGAAGATATTTTCGGTTTCCTAGATAATTCTCGATAAGTTTTTGGCATATTCCCCATATATTTTTATTCTATGCAGATGAATAATTTAGTAATCGATTAGTTTGATGCTGTTCAGAAGGTTTTAAAATTACAATAAGCGTAGAAAATCACGTGGAACTGACTAATATTTTGTAATTATTATTCTGTAATTGTTTACTCGCGGCAAATGTGAAGGTAACTTGCTACTTTTGACTTGAAATTCTTGTCTTCAATGATTTCTTAATAAGAATATTACTCATATATTCTTCTTCTAATTAAAATGCAGAAACGCGCACGATTTTATTGTCACCATATGAATCCAGTAGCAATTTTAACAGTTTCGATATCTTTTACATTCCATTCTTGACTTTGAGTAATGCGCTTTCATCATTTCCAATTTGTTTACATACCATTGTTTCATAAAATAAATAATGGAATAATAAAAATATAAAAGGCGACAATGGGTAATAATAATAATACAAATAGAAGAAAATCAATTGCCACAATTATGTAGGATAGCACGGGTCCTAAAGACTCACCAATATGATCGATTTGTCATTGTAATTAGCATTTAGAAATGAACCTTCATTAGAGAAATGAAGTAATTGCTGATTAATAAATTCTATAATATTCGTTTACACGGTGGATTATGTTAAATAACGCCTAAACAAATATTGTTTTCGCAACTTCACTCAACATGTAATTGTGTTTGAAGAACTTCATGTAATTAAAATTAACATACATTCATTGACTGCTTGTATTTTTTTTACTTTTTCGCTGGCGATATAATCTCATTCTGTAAACAGTTGTAAAATCTGTCTTGCCTAAAAAATATTTTTCATTTTAATAACTTCAAAGATTTATAGAAACTACGAATAATATAGAAATAATTTCTAATCAATGTTCAATTTGTTTTATTATTTTAAAGGAATAGGGTAAAATATTCTTCTGATTCGCGCATTTTTCAGTAAACCAAGATTTGTACTACGATGTAACTTTAAAATGTTTATTTATCTATGCCGATTTCCTTGTTGATATCGACACACATACAACGACAGATCTCTATTCACATACACGACGACTAATCACGATCGACCCGCATTGAAATGATTTCATCGAGAGCGAATGACGTACAGTTCTGGCGTAACGCATTTTCGTTGCATTTGTACCGAATTTACACCCTAGTCGCGCCTAAAAAAGTTTTATTTAAAAAAAATGGTATAAAGTAGAAAGGTATGATAGTGTAATCTTGCATGCATATCTAATAAATCTTAATCCGATAGAATATTTAGTAAAATATTTTTATTTTATTTTATGATTATTTCTTCAGGACCGAAAGAGTTCAACTTCCGAGGCCACAACTACTTCTTCAGTGGTCACGTTCCCGAGTTCAAAGGCAAACGTGTCGACTGGTTAGATGCCCGTAACATGTGCAGAGAATACTGTATGGACTTGGTCTCAATGGAAACACAAGAAGAAAACAATCTAGTATTCAGGCTGATCCAACAAAGTAAGAATCGAATATAGGAAAATATTTTATCTATCTTGTTTGTATCGGTTTAATAGATTTCTATTACGCAACTTGCAAGAACCGAGTTCAGTACATGACGAGCTATGTCTTTAAGGAGGAATTCTGGTCTATAATTGTTAAAAAATCGATTTTGCTTTTTTATATTTTATATAAGAATATGCGTACAAGAGAAACGCATTTTTTTCGAAACTATGCTTTGCTTTATGATACTCACGACTTCTCAACTTCTACTGGACCGATTTACTTGATTTTTTACGTCTTTCTTATAGACTTTTTGTCAGTATAAAGTATGCTCATCCCCAAATTCCGATATTTACTATTTTTAACAAAATCGATAATGTCGAAGAGTGTGTTTCAGGCAATAGCTATTTTGTTCATAGTACATACGATTGTGACATTATTCTAGATTAATAATATACATAGGGCCATTCCTACCTTGAATGCGATGCTAGCGAAAAATGTGGTCGCATGCCTTAGGGAGCGCCAATACGAGATTCGAATATGTATAATATAGTATTTTCAATGTATAGTTTGTATATTTCAAGAAATATATAATATCTTTGCATCTTCAACTAATCTTTGGACAATAATTTTAAAATATGTTAAAATTTTAACTTTAAAACAACAATCATATGATGTAAAGGATATACGATGTGAAAGTAAAGATGAATACATACAATTCGGCCCTTATGATATCAATCAGGATAAGTTTACGACGCAGTTTTAGATATTTTAAATAATGAAAAATTATAAAGACTATAATTTTTTTTTTGCTTTCTTGGCATGATTTTTTCAATAGAATAAATCGCAAAAAATTCCCAAAATAATTAAGTGAAATGTTTTAAATCCAAAATATTAATATTACACATGCATTAGAAACAATTGATTTTTTTATTATTATTATCTCTTATTTACAACTATCCAGTAAAGGACATTCAATAAATTTGATAAATTTACAATAGTCGGCCGAAAAGGGACATTGTATACTACAAGGGCATGTTGGAAAAAACAACTCAGTAGTTGTTTTTCCATTCGATATGAAATTCACAATATTTTATTGATAATTATATAATTTTAACTATTTACTTATTGAATAATTTCTTATAAATAATGATCAAGTTATTTCCATTTTTTATCAGGAGTGTTGATGGCTTAAATCCAGTGGCGCTTTTCTTTTCTATCTTCTTGGATAGTTCTTTGTTATCAAGGAGTTGGCTAATGAACTGAAATTACTGAAATTTTTGGATGTTCCAAAAAGTTTGAATAGAAACGAAAGAAGTATGACAATTTGATTATGAGCAACACGCGAATCGCCTCGATCTTCTAAATAAGTTTAAAATCAATGTATTTTATACGCTTTTAGATTATATTATTTACGTTTAGTAAATGCTTAAATAATTCGAAAAATAAACTGTTAAAACAGTTAAATAAATAGCATGCGAGCGCTAATGACCCCAGGACCCGCCCCTGGATATACATATATAAATATTTTTCTTTCGATTATTTGGAGGGCACTTCATCATCTTCTAGAATTAAAACTTATGACTATTTTTAGTTTTTATTGTTTGTATATTCTTAAAATATCAATTACGTGTAACAAAAAATATAGATAATTTATATTGTTTCTTTACGGTCCTTCAGAAATTGCATAAAATGTATGTCTCTAGGCCAGATTACCCCCTTAAGCGCTTACGCTAATATGAATATGAGTCGATATGAAATAATATTTATTTATAATTATATATATATATATATATATATATATATATATTTGTGTTTGTATGTATGTATGAATGTATATATATATATATATATATATATATATATATGTGTAAGTATATAAATTAATTAAAATATAATAATTATTTCCTTTCTATCTCTAGATGACGTACCTTACATATGGACAAGCGGTCGCCTTTGTGATTTCAAAGGATGCGAAGGTCGTAAAGACTTGGAACCCAAAAATGTCTTCGGTTGGTTCTGGTCTGCAAACCGTGAGAAGATCCAACCAACCACTCAGGTAAATAAATCTTCGTCGATCACGTTATTCACATTCACTTTCACTTTAAAAAAATCACTTTTAACTAAACCATTTTACGACATTTACGATATTCGCACAACCCTGCACTAGAAGATGAATGACGTATATGAACCTTCCATGAAGTGGCGCAGTTGTGCAATAACATCCTTATAAACCTGAAAAAAAAATAGATAATGATCTAGATCAGGTGGTAACATGTGCACGCTTCAATTCTCGATATAGTCGATTCAATAATCGATTTATCAGTCTTGAAGAGCGATCAGAATATTCAATTTTTCAGTCACAAAACAAGGTTTAAGTGGCATTTTAACCATAGATAAACAAGTATAATGGCCCTAACTTGCTTGAACTTCCCTATATGTGTAAATAATCGATTTAAGGAGGCGTCCATTAATCACGTGAGGATTTTAGGGAGAGAAGGGATTTGATAAAAAATCATGAAATATCACATTGGGGAGGAGGGTATAGTAAGATAACACGTGTATTTATTTTTTACCTGAATTTAGAAAAAAAATCCAAACATTTTCAAAAAAAATTCAAAATTTTTACATTTTTTTCTCGTAACTGAAAATACAAGTGATCTTCGGTAAGGGAGGGGGGTTAATTTTGAATATCACCAAGTACCACCAAGAGAGAGGGGTTCCAAAAATCCTGAAAAAATCGATTACGTGATTAATGAACACCCCAATTGTGTCTAACCTGTCTAACGGTCTACTTGTTTACCTGTCTACATTTCTACCTTTTTACTTGCCTACCTTCAATTTGTACATATACCTATCTATCTTCATATTGTCTATCTTCTTATTTTTCTTCTCATCTACCTATTTCCCTTTGCCTGGCCATTTGTCTACCTGTCGTTTGTGTATCCATAAATCAATTTTTTTAACTTTTTTCCTGCAACTCCTAAATCACTGGACCTGCCTTCGCAAAAATGTAGTCAATGTTTCACTTCATCAATACAATAAATATATCAATATCGTCAATATTGTTTGAATCATTCGAATCAGTGCTCCGTTTTTTTTTTTTCAAAATATCATCTCCGCAACTCCTAAATCGCTAGACCTACCATTGCCAAAAACCAATAATCACGTCCCATCAATCGGAATTAAGATTAAGTCGATTATTTACACTTATCAGGATATTCATGCAACTTATCTTAAAGAAAAATGCCACTTATATCCTGTTTAATTTTACTTCTAGAACAGCATAGGTCAGAAATACTGCCATTTCAGTTTTTTTAAATCATAAGAATAAAAACAATATGAAATATCTATATTTTTTTTACCAGGTTCCAAATGGATGGGGCTACAACCCGTGGTCTCAAACTGGACACAAAAAACAACGTCAACCAGACAACGCCGAATTTGACATCAACGGAACTACTGAATCTTGTTTGTCTGTATTAAACAATGTATACAACGATGGTATCGCATGGCACGATGTTGCTTGCTACCACGAGAAACCTTTCATCTGTGAAGACAGCGATGAGCTCCTAAACTACATTGCAGCAACAAATAGAGGATTAAGACTCTAAAGCACCACACATCACAAAATCCACCATTTACATAAGTTCATTATTCGACATTTTATTAAAACCAGCAAGCTCCAAACAAAGATTTGAGTTAGTTATATTTTCAAAATACTATTCAAGTTTTCAGTACAAATTTCTGTATAAATAGATTATTAAAAGAATTCCATACTGTAAGAAACTATTGTATTTATGTAAACACAAATATTTATTAAGATAAGTAATATTAATTTTGTAAGATTTGTATATTTATTTGTATGATTTATTATAATCAATAAAATTTTAAAAAATATTTATGTGTTTTCATTTTCATATTTATTTCTTCATAATAAATAATTTAAAACAAATTTTTAAGGTAATAACAGCAGATTTAATATATCAAATGAAATTTAAATCTTGTATTTTAAATTATACATAATCAGGGCAGATATACAAATTTAATAGTTACTTACAATTATAAGAGGTCCTTTTAACTTGCTATATAGTTTGGTGCTTAATGTCCTGGAAGTCATACCAGACGATACAACAAGTATGTTCTAATGTAATTAGCCACATTGGACTTAAAATAAAAATATCATTTATTGGCTAAGTATGTAGATTTAACAATGGCGAATTTCGAATATTATAAATATAGTAAACAATTTGTTTACAAAATCCTTAACAGTCAACAACTATGTACAAAAGCAAAATTAAATATTCTTATAAGGTAATTAATGTGCACTTTTATTATAAAAAATGTACAAAATTATATAAATAGAATGGATAATTTAAATATGAAAATATATGAACATACAAATATATAATATATATAAAAATATATATAAATATACGTATATGTAAATAGTTATGTAATAATATATAAATATATACATACACAATACTAAATCAAAAGTTTTAAAATCATTTACTGCACATTAATTACATATTTAATTTGAATATCCTTGTCAAACCTACATATTATTTCACAAACTGTTATGTAGAGATATACAGAAATTTTTTATTCTTCTCGATTAACTTGTCCATGTTAATCTATTGTGTAAAGCAATACTTCTGATGTCACCAGCTTAAGAATTTTTTATACAGACTGTTCGAAACTTATACGCATTTTAATTTCACATTATAGAGTTTGTTATTAGTAAATGTATGATTAAAATTTAAAGCCCTCACTGGGTATGCTGGTGCTTGGGTCAAATTGAAAACCTGCATCTCCGGGTTGGGGAGCTAATCGTGGATCTTCCATTTGCTGAAAATAGATAGAACAAAGCATGTAATAAAATTCACCATACCTGAGCTAAGGATCTGACTAAGAAATATTTGTTCAAGATATTATGTAAAATATTGTTTACTTATTTATATTAAGAAATAAAATCATCACATTACAAAAGCAATATTAAGTGATGTCTGTTTTTTATAATAAGAAATGATTTAATTCAATTTTATTCAAATAGGAAAATGATTATCTATCAATTTATTAAGTTAAATATATATAATGCTTCATGTAAGATTCACTATCATTATAAAACAATGCAAATTAAAATGAGTACTTACATCTTCTGAAAAATATTGTTCAATAATATCATAGGCCAATTTATAGATTTCAACATTCTCATGATTTTGAAGAGTTTCAATTTTGTCAAGACCCGAACACTCTTCAATCATGTTTGCTATCTGTTCTGCTTCGTGACCTGCCATTTTCAGCATATTGTTTATACCATCCAAAACAACCTAAAAAATCAAATTTATTTGTTAATTACCCAATGAATTCTTCCATAATATAAGGCCATTTTTTATATGTAGCATTTAAAACTAAATGGTTGATGTAAAGTAAATACAAAAATAATGTATAATTTATCACTTACATTAATAACTTGAGTATCCTTACAACTGAGTAATTCACAAAAAGGTGGTATAACTCCTTCTTGAATAAGTTGTGCTACTTGCTCCCTACTGCCACTAATAGTTAAATTACTAATTGCCCAAGCTGCTTCCTTCTGCGTTTGGAATTCACCTTTACTTAAGTTTTGAATAATTTTAGGTAAAAGACCGGCATCGATGATAGCTTGAACTTGAGATTGGTTGCCTGCAGTGATGTTTGACAAAAACCAAACTGCTTCTTTGCAAATTTTCTCTTTCTGTAAAATAAAAAGAGTAATTATTGACATTGAATTTTATTCAGTAAACTTTAATGAACTGTAATTTCAATTACTAAAAATTATGAATATGGATAATGCATTTAAAAATCCAATACTTACAGGATGTGAAAGTAATGCAGGAAAATGTGAAAGAGCATCGCAATTGAGCACAACTTGTGTTTGGTCATCAGATCCTGTAACAATATTTCCTACTGCCCTTAAAGCAGCCGTCTGCACTTTTACTTCTTTATGTGAAAGCAGAGGTACTAATTTTGGTACAACCCCACTGAATATGACCATCTCTATTTGATCATTTCCACCATCTGTCAAATAACTCAAAGCCCAAACCGTATCTACTAATATCTGAAAATAAAATATAATAATTATCAAAGAACAAAATGAAGGTTAATGACCAGAACAAAGTCATAGTAATTGTATAAAATATATACTCTTTATATTTTATTATACTTACATTTATATCTGAGTGATGAATCAGTATATTCAGGGCAGGTAAAATTTCTTCAATTGTTGCAACGGGTGGAGGAGGATCTTTATTACGACATAAATTGACAATAACCCATGTTACATTACGTAAAAATGATATTGGTATATCCGGTTTGATAAATGAAAGTAGTGGCTGCACAACTCCCATTTTTATCACATAATCTCTTAAACAAGGGCCATCACCTTGAAAAACAAATAAAAATTAATACTTGTACATTTAAATAGTGAAATATATTTCAAGACAATATTTACCAATAATGTTGCCCAAAGCCCACACTGCTTGTTCACATACATTTTGATGTGGTGACATAAGTAATCTCAAGAACAAAGGAACAGCACCAGCATGAACAACCTGAAACAAATCCAATCATATGACCTCAACAAAGTTTCTAAACCATTTAAAATAAAAATAAAAAAAACTAATATTCCATAACCATTTATGAGCTGTATCCGAAGAAGATTTAAGAATAATTATCATAACCTATGAATATTTTATAATAAGCATGGAGAGTAAAATAAAATAAAATTAACCAGAATAACATACCAAATTAGTTTGTTGGCTTGTTCCAGATGCAATATTAGTCAGAGCCCAGGCAGCTTCGAATTGTAATGCTGGGTTATCCGAACATTCCAAACAACAAACCAAAATGGGCAATATGCCACTAGCAATGAGCGCGTCAATTGGTGGATTACGATCAGAAGACAAAAGTTTTCTTGCACTTTGAACTGCAGCTAATTGCAGGGTGGGATCATCTGAGCGACCTAAAACAAGACTCAATTTTGTCAGCACAAATAATGAAAATAATTGTTTAAATTGATGGTGTTCTTGTAGATTCAATAAATAATTAAATATTAATGCAAAAAATATATTTAAATATGCTTGAAAATGTGTGCACTAGATATGTTATTACCTGCATTTTCAACAAGAAGTTTCAGATTTGCATTATTCAATGATTTTTCTATGTCATCATCGTCAGTTGAATCTGCAGCATTTGGAACATTTCTACGTTTTTGTAAAGTTTCATCACGCTTATTTTTTCTGAGTTCTACAGTAACTTCATTTCTTCGCCTTCTCATTTCCTTAATAATCAAATATTGAAAACAATTATAATTAATAAAATATATATAAGGACATTATATATGGAAGAGAAATGGCTTAATGGCTTGAATGAATCAGAATATGTTTATACAATGTTCTTGAAATGACAGTTGAAGATACCACGACTTACAAAGTCGAATCTAACCTTCAATAAAAACTTTTTACAAAGTTAAAATATTGTCACAAAATAGCCTAAATGTAGATGTAATTTACAAGAATTGTAAAAAGCAAGATATTTCAAAACCATAATGTTTATATCCCAAAATAATAATATTAACAAAATTGACACATGCCTAAAATATAAAAAAATATGCCCTAGAATGCGATGTAAATGTCATTTAATAACTTATATGAAATAAGCTTGTAAAAATCCGTGTATAAATAACCACTTACATCTTGATCCTTTCCTTTGTTCTTAAATACTTGCATACGATTTTTCTGAGGGTCTGTGGACGCCATTTTATATCACACACAAGAAATTATATATAAAATTGTATACTTTTAAGGAAAAGTAATAACCACGAAACTAACAATCCGTGAAATAAATCTAGTAACAACACATTACGTTTTGATAGTCTATTATTTAAAATAAATAAACTCTACAAATGGTATCACGTTTCTAGAAATTTTTCATCACTCAATTTCACTAAAGTTTCGTCTACTTCTCATCAAACGGAAGCAGTTGTGCAATTTTAATTCAATGCCAACATTGGAAAAAATAAACTAATTTACACTAGGAATCACCTGTTCAAACGATTCGGGCTCCATTTCAAATTTCAAATTGAAATTTCCACAATAAATTTTTCATAACAAATGAATCGATTTTACATTTTCATAATAAATCGATGATCTATTTTCAACAATTTTAATGCATGTGAGTATATATTAGATCATATTATTTTTGTTGCAAACAGAACATGCGTTCTGATTTTGAGTTTTATTTATGTATTTGTAGGCAATTGTTTTAGCCAAATGAAAAACATAATATGATTTTAATATTTTATTGGTGCTTTGATGGTTATAATAAATAGTGGTTATATGAATAATATGGAAAATAACTAAACTTAATTAATACATAATATTAAAGGCTTTGTAGATGCAGTATATTGTATGTATATGAAGTAATGCATTGATTAACTTCCCGTAGGGTAAGTTATTGTAATCGTCCAAAATCGAAATTGAAAATTTTTACATTTCTCCACGTTTTGAAAGTTTCTGAACATTTTGGCATACCTCAGAAAAAATGGATGTGTGTGTATGAATACAGTTTTTCGTCCAACGGATCAACCGATTTGAATGGTAGAAAAAGCATTCGATTCCTATTGATAGGGAGATGTGCTGATTAGTTTTTGGCAAAGACAGGTCCAGCCGTTTCGGAGATACGGAGCAAAGAGTGCAGGAAATAGAAATCGCGTTTTTTGGGCGAACGAAGTATCTGATTTGAATGATCCCAAAAACATTCAATTCATAATGACGGAGAGAAGCAGTAATTTGTTTTTGCAAAAGCAGGTACACCTGTTTTGGAGATATCGAGCCAAATGTGCGAAAAGTGGCAGTTTTTGAGAGAATTAAGCATCCGATTTGATTGATTCAAAAACTTTCTGTTTGTGTTGGCAAAATAATTGCTTTTGAAAAAAAACTATTTCAATTTTTTTTTTGTATATCGAAAATAATTCAGTTTTTAATTTTAATTCTGGCTCACTTATTTATTTTTAATATATAATTTAAAGTATGTAATTCAGTTAATTTGATTCTTATAAATATTAGACAAAGTTACAGTATTTATAATAATCTATTTAAAAACATTTAATATTTTTCGAACATTTTATTACGGTACGGGAAGTTCCAGCAATTTGCCTTAAGGCACGATGCCATACCACTGGTTAATATATTAGTTTATAAAATCGTAATATAAAATTCTTAAGCTATTTAGAAATATTTATGTAAAGGTAAATAATTTATAACCACCCATCTCTGATCTTAGTTGAATGAATTAATATTTTAATCTCTTGGTAAATACTTATAGAAAAATCCAAAATATGAATTTCATATAAAATAATTGTCAAATGATGGTAAAATCTTCATGTATCTTTTCTACTTCCTCATTTTATTTTTTTATCAGTTTACCATGTTTGGTCGAATTTTATAAAAAATTGACTTAAAAATGATATTTTAACATTTCCGCACATGAGTCCCACAGTGTGTACAGTTTTCAAACCGTTTTATAACTTTTTTTGATACATTTTTTTGTATGTTAGGCCAAGGTACTCTTTCTGCTGGCAATTTCTATAAATTAAATGTATATATCCATTAAATATATTTAATAAAATTGGATAATTACATGTAGTCATTCTTATAATTACCAATTTTTTATCATTTAAATCCATACATGCTTTACAACTATTCAAATGAGAGCAAGTTTTTGGACGATTTGATAAATTAATTTTATCTTTATCTTCAATTTTTAGTAAGTTACTTTTGGGACGTTTCGTCTTAAAAATGGCTTCACGATTCAGAAAACTGAAATTGTAATAGTAATTAGATATAGGCTATTAAATAAAATAATATACAGATATAACAATGGTATATCTATATTATAAAGTATATTTATAAATATACTTTGGAGGTGCTTCCGTCCAATAATTGTCAACTTTATTGACTTTCATAATTGACTGCAACCGCTGAAGCAATTTAATATTGTCTTGGGCAATTTTTTCACAACGTTCAGCTTCTTTTTGGCATTTCTTAAGTTTTAGTTTAACATGGTCTCTGGGAACTGGAGGACCAAAATCTATAGCGGGTGTGGCCCTAGCTACCTATTAATTTTATCATTTCAATTTCTAGTTTAGTAAAAACAATTATTTAAATTTGTACTTACACACCTTGTTTCTATGATTTTTAAATCGTAGTTGCTCCCAAGGACGAACCAGTAATAAATCACGCTTTGATAACATTTTATTTGTTTAATTAATTTTGCTGATTGATTAAGCAGAATAACAATTGTTATTCTAGTGTGTTTCATAAACTGTTGTTATAGAAACCTATATTTATTTGAAAATAATATTTCTAACCGAAGTTACTATTGGTTACTATGGTATCTGTTAATAGATATTTTGAATCACAGATTTCAACGTTAAAGAATATTTGTTTTCGTTCGTTGAATTATATATACATATTTTTAAGTTCCCTAAGGAGAAGTTTATGTTTTCATCAAAAAATCCGATTCGCTAATTTTATGTTTTCTCGACGTTTCAAGCCATTCTGAATCGAATGAGGCCAAAATTGGAAAAAGTATGTGTGAGTGTGTATGTGTGTGAGAGCAGATTTTTTAGGGATTTTTTGCCGTAAATCGACGTTTTCTCAGAAACGGCTTGACTGATTTTAAAAATTTAAAAGTCATTTGATGTATCTCGATGAGGACTATCGTTTGTCAGTTTTGTGCGACGATCTGCCAAGCCGTTTCTTTGTAATTTGGAAAAACGTGTTCGTCCACATTTAAGCTCATACTACCGAATCGATTTTAAAGAATCAAAAACTGTTCGAAAGATTTTAGTTGGAAATGATATTGATAGTTTTAGGTGAAATTCTAACGAGCCGTTTTCTTGTAATTAACTGTTGAAAAAAAAATTTAAGCCGATTTTATCATGGTCTTATGGTATCATGGTCTTATAGAACTTACTGAAATATTACGGTCTTACTATAAGTAGTTCATTTTTAAAAAATTATCAAAGTTTGAGAAAATGAGTAGTTTTTTTGACGTTTGTTAAAATTAAAATTAGACGATTTACTTGATTACTGTACGTCTTTGGTCTTAATGAACATACTAAACCATTAACATTAAGGTCCTACGGAAACAGGTTCAATTATAAAAATTGTTGATTTTTGAAAATTTGCTCTTAGAAAATACACCGGGTTAACATATTCGTTCGTTTTCAATTGTATGTAATAAATCAACTCGGAATACTTTTAATCACTCATAAATTAATTTATTTTCTATTGATTAAGTCGATTATTCACACATATGTATAATAAATATTATAACTTTCTTATATCATAAACACGTCAATATAATGAGTATTACTGCAAAATTTGTTTCTTAAAACTACGATTTTGGTTTGAATTATAATGACAGTTCAGCGGTTCTACCTCTTATTCACAGGGTTGTACAAAGTATGTCAATTTTCAAGCTAGTTGCAATACTGACAACATAACAATATTAGTTACAAAGTCATGTCATAATTTTTCTATAATTTAATATTAATTAATTAAAAGTATAATATCTTTTATTCATTACCAGTGGCTTAGATTTTTTTAATTGATTTTTTCATCTGATATGAAAAGGTGTGTAAATATATTTATAACCAAACTTTTGCAACAACAGAAGTTTATTTCCAGCATAGTGTATATTGTTGAATTTCTTATTATAATAATATTATCGTGTATTTCAGATGTCGACTATTAAAATATTTCCTTCCTTAATCAATATATGTAAACGAGGAATAAGCACAACATCACCAGTTTATGGAAAACGTAATTTTAGGAAGTTTCTTTTATATAATAAGAGAGGATCACGAATATTTAAAAAACAACAAATAGAAAATCCTGACCCCGATGTACCAATTGATAAACGAGGTGTTAAAGACACTGGATACACAATAAATGGAAAATATGTAGAAATTCCAGAACTTATCCCTGAACTAATCGTGCCAGACTTGACTGATTTCAAATTGAAACCTTATGTCTCATATAAAACTCCTGAAGTATACCAAACAAAATTCACAAGCAAAGATTTGTTCGATGCTGTTTATAGCAAGAAAATTATAGAAGATTTTAAGGCAGGAAAATTAGATGAAAATGGAAATCCATTAGAACCATCCATTGAAGAAAAATTAACACCAGAAGAAGCTAAAATTAATGCTAGGAAAACAGGTTCAGATATATTCTAATATTGTACTAGAATATTTGTAGTAAAAAATAAATTAATAATATAATAAATATGTAATATTTATTACTATTTTACAAGATTTTATCTATATAAAAATTTATTATACAATGTACATTTATCAGGAATTTTGCAGGCGGCCTCTTAGCTGATTTAAGCTTTTAATCCAATTCTTCAGTTTCTTCGTTTCATCAATAATTAACTGGAAATAACAAAGAATTATATATAGGAACTTAATGCTTTCATAGAATCATTTTAAGGCAATAAAAAGTTATACTTTTTTTTTGTAGCATAAAAATATTATCAATACAAAATGTTGCAATAAGTTACATAGACTTTGAGAAAGTCAAACACATTTGTAATGAAATGTGACAAGTGGACATATCTTAAGCATACCCAATAGTTCATTAAATAACAATGTGATCGTAGGTTTTTCAATTCCAACAATATAATACTTACATTAGGATGAATTAAACATTCTTCAGTATCCAATTCAACTACTGGCATTATTTCAGGTTTTTCTTCCTTTTTAATAATTGCCTCTTTTTTATTAGCCTGAGAAACAAATTTTTTGGATACAAAAGAATCATTGTTTATTTCATCCAGAACATCGTCTTCTATTACAATCGGCTCACTGGCAGTATCAGGTATACTTGTTATTTTGTTTAAAACAGATGAAGCAGCTTGTTCAACAGCTTTTGCAATTTTGTTTGTAATATCTGCAGACAAATGGGAGTGATTCCTTTCTGAAATTCAGCAAATTCAAGAATAAATGTGTTTTGATATAACATACACATCAAAACATAAACTACTTTTTTGAAATACTATGATTTTAATAAAATTGTAGTAATGTTTCAGATTTTCAAATAAAATTTTCATAAGATTGTAATAATTGATGAATGTAATAATATATAAAATATTTTAAACAGAAAACTTTATGCTGAAGCATCAATTGTAATATATTCTTACTCTTTTTCATTTCACTTTTTACTATACTTCCTGATCTTGACTTTGAATCCTCAGAATCGCTTGACGAATATGACCTTCTCTTTCCTCGTCTTGATCTGTAACTAGAATGCGAATCTCGAGAGCTTGAGCTACGAGAACGTCGCCGTCGTTTTGAAAACTTCTCTCTAGAATTAGATCGTCTACTGCTGTGTCTGCTATGAGAGCCATTTCTTCTGCGTCTACCGTGTCTTTCAGAAATTGGGGAAAGATCTCTTGATCTATCTCTGTGTTTTCTATCATATTTAGATTTATGTCTTCTGGAGTCACTTCTGGATTTTTTCCGTTCTCTTGAATTAGATCTTGAACGGTAGTAAGACCGTTGGCGGGAATGCGATCGGCGGCGGCTACTTTCTCTTCTATCTGATGAATCTCTAGATTTTCCAGGCATCTTTTTACTTTTAGAACGTCTACTTGATTTATCCTTATCAGTATCTGAATCCGAACTGCTTGAACGAGAACTATCTTTGTCTCTGGACATTTTTGCACTTTTAGGTTATACACGAAACTAATTATTAAAATCCTTAAAACTAAATGCAAAATTTAAAAATAAGTTATTATGTACAGGGATCATCAACAATTTCATTTCATTTTTGAAGCGCATCATAATAATTATTATTTTTATATCATTTGACAATTTATCACTTGTACTGGTTATAAATAGTGTTGCCGCATGAAAAATAATCATAAATCTATAAAAGAGCGCAGACATTTCAAACTTTTAATCTTTTATTGTTAAAAATGGATTGAATGTGTAGAACTATTAAAATTTAATCGAATTCACAAATTATTTATACACTTTTGATCATTTTATTAAAAACAAATTTATATTTTCCTGTATATGTTTAAAAAAGGATTAAATTTCGTGTATGGCAACACTTTTGCAAGTTGGCAGATCTTGGCGATAGTCGTATCGACTGTCAAAAGTGTCATTTTCTATTCTAAAATTTATATAAATCTATAATTAGCAACTTTATATATATTAGCAATTATGGTAGGTAACTAATGGCTTTACATTTAGTATAATATATTAAGTATAAGGTTTTGTATGTGATAATATTATTTATAGTCGTTTGCGGAAAAAATAGCTGGTCTTATGGCCAGACCAAACCAAGATGCTGTTCCAAAGGATGATGTTCCTTGGTGGATGAAATATGCTGGTCGAGGATTAGGAACTGTTGGTGGATTTAGTAAGTTTTATTCAATTAATTACTTGTTCCATACAGGATATGCTTTAAGAAGCCCTATAATCATTTCCTATAACTCTCTATAATTTTCCTTTCACTTCCTTATTTGTTTGTTTTTCATGTTTGCTATTTATATACATGTACGTATTATAAACATATATGTTTATATAAGTATTTTCGCTACAATGAATTCCTCTAATATACATAAGTTAAAGTAGTCTCATATTTTATTACCTTCTTTATGCCAAGACAAGTTTGTATATTATATGTAATAATCATTCCTACTTCAAACTTAATTAGTTAATTTATTTGTATCAATTATTAATCAATATATTTCTATTCTACAGTTGCAATTTTCCTGGGAGTATGGAACTGTGTTGGAATTATGTTAGCACAAGTGATGTGTTTTTTATCAGGAATGATGCAGATGTGCGCAGGCTTTATGGTGATTGTTTGTGAAGCACCTTGTTGCTGCATGTTTGTTGATTTTGTACAAAATTTAAGTGACTGGGTAGAAAGACGACCTTATTGGCATAAAGCCGCATTATATGTAATGTAAGTTAATATAACAACTAACTTTGGTAACATAAATCGTACAAACTTATTTATATTTTAATTTTTTCTTCAGAATGGCTATACCACCAATAATAATGTGTCCAAGTTTAGCCAGCATATTTGGAAGTGGATTGATATTTGCAACTGGAGTTATCTATGGAATGATGTCTTTAGGGAAAAAGTGAGTATGATAGTCTGTATTATTATTATAATTTTAAACAAGTAAAAGTAATTCTCTTTAAGGTAAAAAAGTTAAAGTTATAATAAAAGTTGTTTCATTAAAATAACCAATGTAAAATGATATATTGTTCACACCATCACAGTGTATAATATACAAACAATTGATATACATGTGACTAATAATGCTTTGAGTTAACATACCATTAATCACTGTTAACGTGTTTATCATTGCCGACAACAGATAATGCATTAGCATTTATATATATATATATATATATATATATATATATAAGTCTGTGTTTATTTTGTGAGTGAAATTACACAATTACCATTATTTATGCTTTGAAGATTCACATTAATTTTATTGCTTCCACATTAATCACTCACTAATCTAGTTACCGTATAATATTCTTGTTTAGAAAGTTCATTTTACAATTCATGCTAAAAATAGTATTATATATTATAAGAAAAGGTGATATGTTCATTGACGCACTATAACAAGTATCATGATATCACTAAATTAATAAAACAACTGAAAGAGCTTGTTGAAAGTTTTTTGGTTATGGTTCAGCCTTTGTTTGTTGTTTGATGCAATAATACGATTGCAGTTTCATAAGGTTTTTTCTCTATAAACCAAATACTTTGGAATTCATAGAGAGTTTATTACTGGCAATAGATTATCTTGTGTAATTCTTTTTCGTCATCCAAGCCTATTTATTTATGATCATAAGGCGTTTCTAAAATCGAGTATATAACCTCTAGAAAATTTAATTTGTTTATGCACAAAGTCCCAATATACCATTTTGTTTTGGGAAAGTGTTTAATGTTTAAAAAATTAAAGAACTAGTACTTGTTTTGTTCAACAAAGTTTTTTTTTGTGTACTATTAGAATGAAACATGAAGAATAGTAAAATATCGTACTGTAATTGGTATCTATTAATTAATTAATTATCTTACAATGCAAAGCAACTCACTTTGAAGTAGGAATAGTACAAGTAATTTTAAGACCTATAATATAAAATTTTATTTGTCGAGGCACTAAGTACTATCCCTATATTTCAAACTATAGCAATCAACAACCATTGACTTTTTATAATATCATTGCTTGACGAACGAATTTAGGGGCTCTCGCCAGGACATGGCCGCCGTGGCTTCGCCCCAGAGAGGCGGATTTTCACCGCAGGGGGGGCCGAGCGCAGGCGCCGGCGATCATTCCGTTACACTCATGCAAGATCCTGATGTGTGGCGTCCCACATAAATACATAATTTAACACTAAGGAGAATAATCGCGTTTTTTGGTACACGAACACTAAATTAATAGTATACGTTAAATGTCTGTTTCAAAGTGACCAACAGTACTATTTAATAGAGTAATGATATTCATTGAAAATGAAAAGATGTGATGCCCAATAAACGAATTTGATTTGAAAAAAATATTTTTTAGAATTTTAATTAAAAAACAGATATTAATTTTAATGAAAGTATCGTAAATGAAACCATTGTTTGGTTTATTCTATCAGTCTGGCCTGAAAATATTTAATATTTATTGCTGGAAATATCTAACATGACTTCGATTTTCATCAGTACTACATTTAATGTTTTATATTCTCATTATAATAAGAATCAATCCAAATATAATAAATGAAACAGCATAATTGTTGTTTTTTCATTATTTTATTTCATGTCTAACTATTTTACTTTTTTCTGAATAAGTTATTTTATTTGTAATGATTTCTTTACTGCTGGAACTGCAATCAAGAAGATTGCAAAGGATTGGTTAATTATTAATTACTGTAACTAATTTGAAATAAGTAAATTCCTAATACAAGAAATTGTTGGTCACTTTTATAACTAATTCTTTTTAACAAGCATGTATTTAATAATAGCATGAAATTATCTTACTCTTATAATAAACAAAAATTTAAATCAAGATTAATTTTGTACAATAATTATTGTGATAGACTTTTTTTCATACACATCACTTATTGCATGTTTAAATTGATAACAATCATTGGTCCCGGACATCGACTTGCATGAATTTACCTAATTCGATTTGTTTCTGTGTGCTTAATCAATAAGGAAGTAATTAATATATTTTAAATATAATGAGTTACATCCACGAGCATTTTCATAGTAGCTTGTACGTGTTACATTATTATTCTTCTCTTTTTAAAGCAACTGTTGTGTATTAGCTTTATTTATGTGATAGTAATATATAATATTATATATTCCCAATTATTATATGATTTATTTACTATATTTTATATCCATTTGTAGTTATATTTAGATACCATGAATGTAAAAAATTAAGAAAATTTGTTTTGGAAATACAGTCACACATAACTGTTTGGTGAAGGTATTCTCCTAAACTTGTCACTCCGTATTACGCACAATTTTTTGTACGGTTTGAGCTAATCATTTTTTGTTATATTTTTCAGAGCATCCGCAGAAGAAATGCGTACTGCAGCAAACAATTTATCACAACCTCCGCAAACAAAAGACATTTCAAGTAACATGAGATCAAATCTTGTTGATAATGCGCAACCTGTTGCTTTTACAGGAATGCCTATTGACAGTAATGTTTAGTTATAATTAGATTACCAATTGATTTAACATAACTTAATAATGATATCGCAACGTTTAAGCTTTAATAACAATATCATAATTTAGATATTTAAAATTATTTAATCAGATATGTGGGTTAAAGAAATTTATTAATAGTCTAATAGCCAAAAAATTGAAGGTGTAATATTATTGGCCCTTGTTATCATGTTTTGAAGCTAATTGAAGTTTATAGTTTTGTAGCTTCGTTATTTTAAAAAAGTTAGGGCCAAGAAAATTTTTAACAAAATTTATAGATTATACTTAAAGCATTGTTGCAATCGTTTTACTTTTCTGTGTTAAAGATATAAATTTAAAGATGTTTGTTAAAAGACTTCAAACTTATTTGATAATATATTTTAATTAATTTGATCTCATGCGCAGAGAGTGCCACATTTTTATACCAACTTCCAATGAAAATGGCACAAAAAATATGTATATAAACGTCTTTAATGAATGAAACTAAAACGTTAGTGTCACATTATTTCCAATTGACATGAAATTAAATGCATTTATCATAAAAATACAATTAAGAATAAATATCTAATTGTTCTTGTAATTGATTATAATATTTTTACTAATAATCAAAGGCAATTAGAAAATCAAAGACATCAAAGTTTTTAATGTGTATAAATATAACGATTTTAACTTGAAATACATAAGGATGCAGCTTGGTAACACTTTTAAATGACTGAACAATGACTGATAATTTATTTAAAACATGATTGTTATTCAATTTAATGAGTGTTACTAAAGTAGTCGGAGAGATTATTAGCCAACACTTTGTAGATATTCTAAAATAGTTTACAAGTAGTAAAGTCAATGTTAGTTCATTTAGATGAAGAATCGTATTTGAATGTGCAAAAATAATGTATTGTTTGTAGTATCTTCTCTCAATTCCCAAATATTCAAAACATTTTCATATTTGAAAAATATTATTTTAGAATTGTAAGCTTCTTCATCATGAAAGGCAATGCGTAATATGTGGTTTTATTGTGATTTTTATTGTTAATTTAGGGTTTAAATATATTCAATATATATTAAGTTTTTAAACATTCCATACGAACATAATTACATAAATAATAAGACTTCATGAAAATTGAATTATACATATCGTATCACAAGTTTCAGCAAGTATCTTAAAATTAATCTGATTATTGCATTATATCTAATATAAAAAATTATGTTTTAAAATGAGTATTTTAAAGTATCCTATTGGTATGTAATTTTGTTAGGCGCAACTGTAAGTTTAATCAGAAACAAGATTGGAAAAACAATGCTCAATTCATATTAATCATTATTATTCTGTAAACATATGTTATTTAAAATATAAAATTGTACATAGAGAACACATTGCATGTTTAATTTTTATTTGACTCAGTAATATATGTTTTTAATTTGAAAATAATATTATTTAATAACTAATATTCATTAGTTGCAATTAAATCTTGCGTGTATATGACGTATTAAAAAAAAGGCTTCAACTTACTATTATAAATCATTACTATCACTAATTTATATTAATTTATTTATACAGCCAGATCAGATCAAATTATACTTATTGTTAGTATTTAATTATATTCATTAGCAGATTAAAAATTAATTATTTGAACACAAAATTTTAAAAAAATACCAAATATAACTGCCTAACAAGAATCACTAGCCAATAAATTTTATGAGACTATTACTTCTTTTAGTTTTTTCTGTTTATTTCAGTTTTTTCAAGAAATTAGGAGCTTCCAATGGTATAGCCGAAGCTAAATTCCAATAAAACTTTATATCATATGTTCTAGGATTGTATAATTTTTTGTTTGAATAATTGTGAATTAATTTATTGCATGAGCGCAACTAGAATCTAGATTCCATAAATCATAGTCAAATGTGTAAATGTATATTTTATCGCCAATATAAGTACATATGTATATATTGCATAAGCAATAGCTTTTTTATTTAAAACTCAAATCAGTTATAATTTCCTTATACTTTAGGAAGTTATAATTTCGTACATTATTGATTGAATTTTTATAAATTCAATCATATAAATGTAAATCAGAACGCTGACACATATCTGAATGGTATTATAAATATATATTGTAGATTTTATAAGTAAAATAATTAAATCATAAAATATCAGACAAATACTCGATAATCATTGAAAAAAAATCCCCAACTAGTTGGGGTGGTATTTAGCCTTGAGGCAAGTTACATGAACTTCCCGATATGTTTAAATAATCGACTTAATCAATAAAAAATAAATTAATTTATGGGTCATTAAAAGTATTCCGAGTGGATTTATTACACATAATTGAAACGAACGAACACTTTGACTCGGAGTATTTTCTAAAAGCAAATTTTCAAAAATCAATAGTTTTTATAATTGAACCAGTTTTCAGGACTTTAATGGTTTATTATGTTCAAGACCAAGTACTCTATCATTATACCAAGTAAATAGTCTAATTTTAATTTTAACAAATCTCAAAAGAACTACTCATTTTCTCAAACTTTGATGAATTTTTAAAATCAAACTATTTGTCGTAAGGCCGTAATATTTCAGTAAGTTCTGGTATATATCGCTAAAAAAAAATCCATAAAAATCGCTTTAAATTTTTTTTTCAACAGTTAATTACAAGAAAACGGCTCGGTAGATTTTCACCTAAAACTAATCAGTATCAATCCCAACTAATATCTTTCGAACAGTTTTTGATTTTTTAAAATCGGTTCGGTAGGATGAGCTTAAATGTGGACGAAAGGCTTAACACTTTTTTTCAAATTATAAAGAAACGGCTTGGCAGATCGTCGCACAAAACTGACAAACGATAGTCCACACCGAAATACAAATATCAAATGGCGTTTAAATTGCTGAAATCGGTTAAGGCGTTTGTGAGAAAACGTCGATCAAAGATTTCATTTTGACAAATGTCAATAAAACGATACCAATTTTTGCAAACTTTGACGAATTTTTAAAGCTAAACGAGTTGTCGTAGGGCCGTAATATTTTAGTAATATTTTAGAAAACTATGGTAGCTACCGTCAAAAAAATTCATAAAAATCGTCTAAATTTTTTTTAAAAAAACTTTATTACAAGAAAACGGCCCGGCCGATCTTTACCAAAAACTAATCAGCACGATTCCCAACCAATATCTATCGAATGGTTTTTGAATTTTCAGAATCGATTCAGAATTGCGGGCTAAAACGTGGAAGAAAAATTTTTCACTTTTCTGCAATTTACAAAGAAACGGCCCGGCCGATCGCCGCACAAAACTCAGAAACGATAGTCCTCATCGTGATACATCGAATGGCTTTTAAATTTTTGAAATCGGTCCAGCCGTTTTTGGAGAAAACGTCGATTTACGGCAAAAAATCTGTTCACACACACACACACACACACACACACATACTTTTTCCAAATTTGGTCTCATTTGATTCAGAATGGCTTGAAACGTCGAGAAAACATAAAATTAGCGAAGCGGATTTTTTGATGAAAACATAAACTTCTCCTTCGGGAAGATAAAAACTAGTGGTGCATGGCATCGTGCCTTAATGCATATTGCTGCAGCAATGGATTATCCCGTACCGCAACGAAATGCTCGAGGAATATTAAATGCTTTCAAATAAATCATTATAAATACTGCAATATTTACAGAAAAGTAAATAAACAAAACTTAATCAACCACTTTTGAAATGATCGATGGACATTGTCTAATATTTAATTATATAAAAATATATAAAAATCAATTATATAAACTGAATTGCAAAGTTAAAATTATTTATTTAAAGTATATTTATTTAGTATAAGTGGGCTTTAGAACTTTAGCAAGAATTAAAATTAAAATCTGAATCACTGATCTGAATCATCTGAATCATATCGGATGTTTAGCTCTATAAAAAACTGCCATTTTTTGTACATTTAGCTCCATATCTTCGAAAGGCTGGATCTGCCTTTACTAAAAACAAATCACCACTTTTCGCCAACATTACCAATTGAATGTTTTTTAGATCATTCAATTCAGATGCTGAGTTCTCTCAAAAACTCGATTTCAATTTTCTGCACTCTTTGCTCCGTATCTCCGCAACTGCTAGATTTTGCTAAAAATTAATCAACACAACTCCCTATCAATATATTATATATATATATATATAATATAGGAATCAAATGATTTTTGAACCATTAAAATCGGTTGATCCGTGCGCCCGAAAACGTGGACGAAAAAATGCGGACATACAAAACACACATGCATACATCCATTTTTTCTGAGGTATGCCAAAATGTTCAGAAAATTTCAAAACGTGAAGATACAAAAAAAAAATATTTTCGATTTTCGGGCCATTACTATATAACTACCCTACGGGAATTAAGTTATAAAGCTGCCAGTTATTATTATAAAAAAATGCGACAAGACCGTATTTGATATTAAGTAGTCATTTTTACGTATTTTGTCCAGTATTACTTACGTTGATTAAATGCTGGTTATTTTTAATAATTAATTAACTAAAAATAGATGCTCCTTGCCGTGACCAGGATTCGAACCTGGGTTACCACGGCCACAACGTGGGGTCCTAACCACTAGACGATCACGGCTATCGAGCTATGTGAAATTACTGCTCTAGATTAAAAAGAAAGTTCTGAATTGATAGAATTTCTGCAACTATTGAATATAACATTCTCTTGCTATAATGCTACAATACAAAATTACCTTTACGTATTTATGGTTTCTGTAATCAGGGCATATTTATGGAACGTGTAACAGGTTGTGATTGTGAATAAAAAAACTTTTACTGTTCTTGTCTTTACGTATTTCAGCTTTTTAGCGCCTGAATTCTATACTCAATATATAAGACTAGTGAATGTAAAAATTCTATCAATTTAGTACTTTCTTTCTGGTCTAGAATAAAGCAACAGGTTTGCATAGTTCGATAGCCGTGATCGTCTAGTGGTTAGGAC